TAATATGGAAGTAGCTTGGACAACACAGTATGAGAATAGCTTGGACAACATATATTATATCGATATATAGCTCCGGGCAACATAATATGATAGCATCTCGAATAACACAATGTCGATAGCTCGAACAAGAGAGTGATCAAGATCTACGGAGGAAGGATAATAGGACTTGTGGATAAGGGACACATGTAGAGTTATATGAGAAAAGATGTAAATTATCCTCCGAATGAGAAAGGATCTCGAGCAGACCTAAGGGAACCAAATTATCGTCGAGCAGTCTGGACACTCGGGCAAGCCTTTGGGCAGCCGGTTTGAAGTCCACCAAATTCCAAAACCCATATTCCAAATCCCATTTGATAACTCATAGCAGGCGTGGAAGTTGATGTTTACCAGTTTCACTTGCAATATAGTATATTATTAGGAAAAAGTTGAACAAAACTAAAAGCCTAGAGCAGAGTAATTAAAGCAATTCTTGCAGGCTATGATTAAAGAATGCAATTATGTTTTATTTAATAGTACTATATAGTGACCACCTAATAATATTATATACTTGGGGCATCATTATTAGGTTCTCCTTTGCTTTCATCATCTGTGATTAATTACTCTGTCACTTAAGTGCGGTTTTGCGAAGCCAACAGTTAGTTCCGTAATAGAGTCAACGTTCTATATACACCAATAAACCTACAATATTCGTTGATTATTTAAATAATAGTAATATAATATTATTATAATGGTAGATTTACCTGTCCTGTTGTATATAGAAGGTTGACTCCACTATGAAGTCAATTGTTGGCTTCATAGTAAAACGTAATAAAGTGTTGGTATAACTTTTTCTATAACAAGATAGTAAATGGGCTATGGCCTTCTATTGGAAAGAATATATTGGTCTTGATCATAAAGTGGCAATGATCTAGTTTGGTCTTGGTTGGCAATAGTCCACTGGGCCAAGCCTTAAAGACGGACTAAGCTGATTTGGTTGGCTGAAAATTCATTTGAATCACATTTACAAGATCCAGGCCTATAGAATAGAATAATTGTTGGTCAATTTACATACAAACTTAAGTGATTGCTTGCAAAACTATTAACTATTAAGCTTATTTATACATCTATCAAAACCCACATAAATATTTAGATTAATAATAACTATTTTAAACACATGTTTCAACACACCTTATGAACCCCGTAATTGATGGATTCATTTCATTCAAAAAAA